AGCCTTGGCATCCCCCCCCACACACACACAATCCCCAGAGGCTCAGCCCTCCTGCCCCACACCTGGAGCAGACTAAAGCCTGCCTTTGTGGTGGGCTCAGCTCCCCTCTCGGAGCCAATCTGAGACACAGCAGTCCCCCCGCACGCTCCCGAGGGGCACCGGACCCTCCACAAATACCTGCTGCCTCCAGACCAAGGCCAGGTCAATGGGTTATAATCATCTCCCTGCTGCTCGGTAATCCCCCTTTGTCTCCTATTCACAAGCAACACTTGTTACCCTGCACAGGACAGGGGGTAGGGGGGCTGCTGCCGGCCCCCCCAGCCCAAAGGGAAGGATGCTGTCAAGGCAGGCAACACGCCAGAGCCAGGGCAGCGGGCATAGGGCTCCTCACAGCCCTGGGGGGAGGCAGGAATAGCCCCTGGTCAGGATGGAGGATGCTCCCACAGCCCCCCCCCTCCTCCATCCCCAGCATAGAGAGCCAGGAGTGCAAAACACCCTTTATTGGGGAAGGACACCACCAAACCAGCAGCTTTCCAGGCTCTTCTACACCTAGAAGGGAAGGAAAAAGGGTCTTACAACACAGGCATCGCCAGCTGACCCTGTTTTGGGTCTGTCCCAGCCTCACACAGCCATGAGATGGGGGGGGGACACGCACAGGTCCCTCCCTCACACCCAGCCACCCCATCCCACTGCCCCATACCTGGCTGGGTTCTGCCACAGCTCCTGCTACTTCTTCGCTGCTGCCTCCCTGCCCCGGTCAACTCCTCGTCCCTGCAGGGATGGGACCGTGGCTGAGTACCGGGGGAGCTCCGGACTTGAGGAGCCCCCAGCCCCAGGCACAGCTGGTCAGGACAGCCTGGCCCTGTGTTTTCCCCCCATTTTTTGAGTTCAGCAGCCGATTAGCATCGCACATCGGCCCCTTGCTCTCCCCAGGAGCTCCCAAGTCCTAGTCAATGAGTGTTAACCCACGTGCCTGGCTGGGATGGGGTAAGCAGGAGATGCAGAGGGACACCCCGGCTGGATCCTACCTTGCTGGGAAGGGGATCCTTAGGGGAGACGTTTTTCCTGCTTGGGAGAAAAAGGGGAGGGCTGGGATTAGGGCTGCGGGGTCCCAGCAGTGTGGGGGGATCCCCTGCTCCATAGTAGGGCTGGTGGATACTTTTCCCCTCCATCATACTCACAGCTCATCCTCCTTCTCCAGCCTCCTCTTCTAGGGGAGAGAGAGGAAGATGTAGACAGCAGGCAGGATGGGGACTACACTACAGAGACTGTGACTTTTCCTCCCTTCCCAAGGGATGAAGATTAGGGCTCACCCCCTTCACAGAGGGGTTTGGGGCTGGGGTTCAGTGGGAGCACAGAGCAGCCCATCCCTGGGGATCAGGGCATGGGAAGCTCCCAGCAGAGGAGGCCGCACCCCCCCACCATAGCATGGGGACCCCTCCGCACACCACATCCCCAGCCAAGGGGGTGCTTACCTTGGCAGCATTGCCCTTCTTGTCATCTTGGCCCTTGGGGGGCTTCTTGGGGGACTCCTCTGCTGGTTCCTCTTCCTCAGCATCCTCCTCTTCCTCCTCCTCATCCCAGGACAGGTTGGACATCACTGTGGGAGCAGCTGGCTGAGCCCCCGCTCCCAAGAAGGGGGCAGGGGGCGGTGGTACCCCAATACTTACTGGAGACGTGCTGCCCGCTGATGTAGACGGGGCCGGAGCCGGCTCTCAGGTGGAAGGTGACTGGAGGTGTCAGCTCCACTCCCATCAGGGTGGCCTGGAAGAGAGGAGAGTGGTAGCACCCACCGGTAGCAGCCCCCCTCCCCGGGGCAGCCCCCACCCCTGGGCACTCACCATGGGCAGCACAGAAGGCTTCAGCGTGGCCAAGGGTACCGGGGAGCGGGCACCTCCCTCAGCCAGCACGATCTCCACCACGTGGAACTCATCCCGTGCCATCTCTCCCAGGCAGATCTTTGGGGAACAAGAAGAACACCCCCCCCCCCCCCCCCGCGACCCCCGGAGCATCCAGGCATCCCTTGCCCGGGACCCCCGGGGTGTTTTGGGGGGGACACAGGGCCCACCTACCGTCCGCAGGGCCAGCTGCTGCTCACACTGCCATTCCTCCGGTACCTGGAAGGTGTAGGAGTCCCGCTCGCTGCTCAACTCACACCCTGCAGGCAAACTGGTGTCAGAGTGGGGCTGCTCAAGGTTGAAGGCACAGGGGAGGGGGAGCAGCCCAGTGCAGCCCCCAGCCCCACCAGGATGCTGCTGGGGTGCCCCAGTGCTTACCCCAGATCATGGACACAGGCTTCTCAGATTTGCTGTCGATGCTCTCCATAAGGGATACGGCTCCAGGATCCCTCAGCCTGGGGGAAGCACACAGCACTGCTCTGC